AACATTCCAACGGTGAGATATAAACATACCAACGAGGAAGCGCTCGAGCATTATACGAAATACTCGAACGCTCTAACGAAAACAAATCGAACCGAAGTCGTAAAATTTGTGAAAGAAAAGATTTAACCAACGATGAGACATAAGTAAACCAACGACGAAGCATTCGAATATTGTACGAAATACTCGAATGCTGAAAGAAAGACAAATAGAATAAAAAAAATAGAATCTGAAAGAAGAAAGGTAATTAAAGCCTGAAACAAAAAATAATTAGTACCTGAAAGAAAGAATTATTGTTAAATTGTTTAAGAGAGTGGACAATGGCCACTGAATAACCATTGATCTAGCCATCGATGATAAACAAATAAATCAACGACGAAGCATTCGCATATCGTACAAAACACTTGAATGCATAAACAATGAAATCTAGAATAAAAGAAATAGAATCTGGAAAAAAAAGAAAGATAATTAAAACCTGAAACAAAAAGAAAGAATATTAACGCGACCCCCCCGAAGTCGAAGCGACAACTGGCTCGAGCCTGCACGCGGGCCCCTTATATAGCGGCGGCCGGGCGAAGATCGGCGAAAATTTCCGAACTTTACCGATTCCTTTGAAAGTTACATTTCCGCTGTAATAACTAATAATTTATTAACTTCTTTGACTTTTATCGTTAATATACGTTACAAACTATTTGTTAACAACAATTTTAATTTGCTATTGACAATAAATTTATTAATTTAATAACTTTTTGTAAATTATGAATACATTTGAAGGTAAATACGTTATAAGTTCAAGTAATAGCCGGTAATTTATTAATTTTTTCACTTTTATTATAAATTTGCGTTATGAACAATTTGTTATTAACGATATTAATTTGTTATTAGTAATAAATTTGATAATTTACACATAATTTATAAGCTGCTTCCATAGAATAAATTTTCACGATCCGTACATGTCTGTCAAAATATTATTTTATTTCTTCTGCATTTTTGGCTAAAATGAAGTATCACGCGACAAGGACGAAAGTTAGGAGGTTATCTTATACTAATCGCAAAATTGTAAGAAGTTCCTCTAAAACCCCGTATAAGACTAAAAATTTTCGAAAACTGAGGATGATAGAACAATTTCGATTGCGAATTCGTTTCGGGTAATATAAACTCTACGAGAATTACTCAATGGACATTACAGATCAGAGAAAAAGTTAAAATTTGTTAGATAGTGTAATCTGTACGATGAGTAATCGACAACGAGATATAGATATAGATATATGCAATAAGGTAGGAAAGAATTTAGCTTAGAAAATATTTCTTGATCCTTCGCTTCATTTATCTTATCTGTCGCATGTTCAAAATTTGCGTTCATGTAGGCTTCCAATGCCAACTACGACGTGCAATTTTGTAAAAAAAAAACGTGCGAGTCAATTTTTTTCAGTACACGTTCGATGCGTGATTTTTGTACCATATACAGACTTTATCTTCTCTATATTTCTTCGACCTTTCCTTTTGCTAATTTTCATCGATGGAAGAGGAACGTCAGGTAGAACAGCAGAATTTATTATGAACGATAGTCAATTCGACTTCACGGAATTCCGGATTGTCCGGAATGTGTACAGGTACAAATACCATGGAAGATTCTGACGAGAGGAAAATGATAGAACTACAAGAGACAGAAACGGTTAGGTTTCGTTTGCTTTCCCGTTTTTTAACGAGTCTACTGGTTTCCTTATTGGAAAGTAAACTCCAAGATTTTAGTGCATCGACGATGTTTTTTCAGGATACCGAGGAATGTTGCCTGGCACAAAAATACCACGATGGACGTCGGAAGCAGGCAGAATCTTATCACGAGCTTAAACGTAAATGTTGTTTGAGGTGTAACCAGCCAAGGTTCGATATCGCGTCAACGGAAGTGGGAAGGAAACATACGAAAAAGACGAGAGATCAGTTGCAACACTGTCCTTCTTGTCACTGTCCGCCTGAAACAGTGAAATATTCGATGGGAGCAACAAAGTAATGGACAGCAGTTTCAGCAAACTTAATAATGGCAACTTTATTTCGTCATTTCGTTTCTTTTAGAAATATGGATGCTGTCTTGTGCGAATACGAAAATTTTTTGATCAATCCAACGAGTCAGACGTACAAGAAGTTTCAGAGTAACTCGGTTTCGCCGAGACTGTGTCGAGTAGCGCCTTGTAATAATTCGTCAACGTATGGCCATTACCATCCGAGGAAGAGACAGACGAGTAGTCATCGTCGTCAATGTAGGAACGAACAGGATCAGATGCTTTCGATTATGAAGAACACGTTGCATTCTGCTGGAAACGACAGCGACAACGTCCTTTACGAATATCCACGATTTGCGAGGAACAGTTATAAGAAGGAGAGTTATTGGGGGGACGACCAGGTAAATAATCGTTATACGTATCTCAACTCGTTGGAATTTGTTTCCGGATATGAAAACTAATACGTTTGTAAAATAGATGGTAACAGGTGTCATAAAAGCAGCGAATGTAGACTGCGAGACTGTGGAGAAATGTATGCAACACAAGAAAGAACGACTTCTGAAATCAGAACCATGGTCCCCGAGGCAATGTGTCGAAAAGACGAACAAGTTAAACGCGAACGAAAGATACAGGTTAGAAGAGCATAAAGACGACGAGTACACGAGGGGTAGATTGAGATTCGACTTGTCCAAACACAGTAGTACGAAGAAAATCGATCTGGACGAAGATATCGAGCATGACAAAAGCAAGCAAGGAAGAAAGAAAACTAACTTTTCGACGAATAAACTTTCTATCTTGAAATGTCGTTCGCAAAGTTTATCGAGAAATAAAAACGTCGAAGACCTGGTAAATTTTTAAGCCTTCCTTTTGTCGTCGAACGTGAACTTCGTAATTTCAATTATCTTATTGGATACTTTTTTAGTCGAAGCAGAAGGTTTCGACGATTGATAGGAATGACTATTCGAAAGAGACGGATCTATCTAAAGAAGTGGAAGATAGGTCGATGTATAAGTCGTGCCAACGATCCACCGCGCGACAGGATTCTCCTTGTAGTCCTGGCAAGGAATCGACCAGTAACACGGATGAAAGTCGAGATGATATGTACTGCGAGTTGGTCGTTAAAGACGAAGAACAGGATCCTCTTCATAAAAAGAATATTCACGCAGGTGGAGATCTGGACCTTGATCTCGATCTGCATACAATTAAAAGTAACATCATCGATCTGATCGATCGGGTTATTAGCAAGACATTCACCACTTCATCGGGCCAGCAAAAGGTCTAGAAAAATTCGTGGATTGTATATTTCCTGGAATGTACTCATTTCGATTACCTTTCAGAATGCAGAATCGAATCGGGAATTAACGGAACAAGGATTTTCGATAGAAATAATACGTGCCCTGCGCGGCGATTATTGCGAACTATTCACAGAGGATCTACTGAGCAATTATCGGATACCGGCTGATCGTATTAAGCGTTTGAAAAATCTTCGATGGAAGCATATGCAACACATCCAGAATGAATTCAACAAATTATGCAATCTACAAAAGTTTCTAGATCAGTACTCTCCGAGGCAATCGTTATCCGCGTTTCAATTTAATTCGAACGCAGTCGAGCAACGGGTGGAAGATCGGCAGCAAGAGCAAGAGCAAGAAGAACAAGGCGAACAACCGAATTTGGGTACGATTTCGTGAAGATTTCAAGAATCGTCTTAACGAGATTAAATTTTCACAATTATACAGGACCGTGCGTCGTTGAACACGCAAATATTTATTCAACATTAGATATAATAACGCAATGACAAGAATAGATGTTTAGTTTACTAGTATTGCATCCTCTATTGAACACGTTTGTACCCGATTATCGAAGACCGACAGAACACGGGGTTTTATTAACAAAATACACACGATATAAAATAAAATAAATATATTTTTGATATATAAAGAAATAAATACTTTCAGGGCATTAAAGTGTCATAGACTTAATATTTCTTAACATTCTTATCAGCTACTTATCAGCTACGTATTTATTAAAAATGGGACAGAAACGCGTCAGTATCTTTCTGACCTCAACTTTATTTTACTCTTCTTCTTTTCGTCAAATTCGCTTAAAAATCCTTGAAATTTGACCGTACAACTGGTCGAACTGGTATACGAAAATTTCCAACGAATTTTCTATATACAAAAACACATGAGAATATTCGATTAGCTGTCGATTAAAATCTCGTATTGTCCGGCATTTTTACAAAGTACGCGACTTTGTCTTCGGCCACTCTGTAATTGTGGATCCATCTAGATCCTTTTCTAAGGCTATCGTCGATTCCATCTCTCCATACACCTGCGGGTAAATAAACCTCTCTCTGTCTGCTACCGGAATAGAGAACAGGGGCCACTATAAGTTCCTCTCCCACGGAAAATTCGTCGACGACCACATGGCAAGCTGGATCCGCTGGATCCAACATCCATAATGGTCGAATTATCGGTAGACCAGTATCGAGCGTTTCTTTCGCGTATTTCTTTAGCAGTGGCGTTACAGTTTTTTGCCTTAACGTGGTCAATCTCTTGGCTATTTCCAACACGGATTCATCCGAATATTTGCTGGGTAGATGAGTGAAGCGTATCACCGGTAAAAATGTAGAGAGTTGCAACCATCTGATGTACAACTCCTTGTCTGGCAAATTCACTTCGAAATCGTTATCGGGATTATTATCCGACATGGGCAGAGCTACGTCTCCGCCAACTGCGCCTGGCATAATGAACGGATAACCTATCATCCCATAGGTCAGAACCGTCGGGATAACAGTCTTGATGGCTTTCCAGGAAGAAGAGAAAGGCGGAAGGGAGACAAAAACGGGTGTTCGAGGCCTGGAAATTGCGCCCGAGACACCGATCACCGGTACAGATCCCAAAATTGAGTTAATGAATATCGTTTTATAGTGATCCGGATTAGTCAAAGGTTGTTCGCATTTGTAGTAATGAGGCATGTCTTGTGCCGTACCCAAATCAAGATAGTACGAGTCTACGTGATACTTGGTGATCAAACTTTCAAGCTTGGACTGCAGCCAAGGCAGAGTTTTATTATTCGTGGCGTCCAGAACGCCAACGCTGTTACTCTGTTTATACCTGCGAAGAAAAATCTTTATCTTAACGACTGACTGTGTTATTGGCGAAGGAAATCGTGGCGAGAGAAAACGAAGGAAACGGAAATCTTACCTGGTGAGGGCGGGTATCCTATACCCGCTTTCTCTCTCGGATATCAGTAGTCTATTCGATACGGCGTCTCTAAAATTGATAGACTCCGTCGATATGAAAGGCTGGATAGTGAACACGATTCTAAATCCTCGACGGTGAATAATGTTGATCGTTTCTTCCATCGAGGGAAATCGTTCCTCGTCCAACACGAAATCACCTGGACTGGGTTGCCATTCTTCGCTCAATAGAACGTGACCTTGTCGCAAGAAGCCTAGAGCTATTACATCCTCGGTATAATTATACACCGCGGCTTCGCTGGTCGGTGAAATTTGCCAGACTGGTTCGGATAACAACGAATGAATCGCGTGAAGTTCATCCGGCTTGAGACCGTCGCATAGAGACTTTTCGGCCATCGAAGAATGCAAAGTCTTCATATTATCCGTGGCACAAATCGTGTAATTTAATTGAGGGAATGGCGTGAGATGGTTAATGTAAGCGAAGGCATCGTGCTTGGCTTGCAAACAAAAGTTGTTGCTTCTGTTGGCATTGATGGACACGTAAAGAGGCGTTTCCGAATCGACCAGTATCGTAGCACCTTTCGAGTTCAAGAAGTATCTTCTGAGTACATTGCCAAAAGGATGTTTGGTGATATCACCGGTAACAAAGGGGCTCAGTTCTAGGCGGCCACGTTCAAGAGGATAAGGCATGTTCTGCACTTGGCCACCGCCATACCAATGTCCCCTTTTCGGTGACCAGTCGAAACAATCTTTGGGATTGTAGTAAGAACCGAGACTTTGCCAGGTGACGTGGTAACAGTGCATATCTGGGAGTTTCGTGTGAGCGAGGTACAAACGTGCCTGCTGAAGCCACTCGAGGCAAACCGAGTCTTGCTTCTGATGATGAGACAGACACGGAAATACCCCGGTATCGGTAGGTATTCCCTCCCCGAGTCGGGCCGCGATCACTTCGGCTTCGGTACTACTGTACACGTGCATCACTCGTTCATTTTTGTTGAACCTGCAAACAACAACGGTATTTTCCGACGTGTCTCCGCGCGTGTCAAATGCTATTGCGAATTTCATTCGCGGTATCGTTTCTGCTTACCTAAATTTGTCGAAGTAGGCTCGTTGAAGAACATGTTGAGTGTAGTAAATATGTGCAAATCCCACGAGGAAAACGACACAGAGAAACAATATTCCGACGAAAGCTCGAAGTCTGCGAAAAATCGTAGAAATAAACGTGTAAAGTCTAACTAAAATATTACCGTAGTTACGCTTTAACGAAGATGTTTACCGATAATCAGCGTTCTGCCTCTTCTTACTGCTACGTAGAGCTTGAGGAATGGACAATTGAAGTTTTTCCTTGAGCAAGCTACTAATGCTGTTAACGCTCGTTATCGTGGAATTCGCGCTTTGCCCCCCGGAAAGTTCCATCGGATCGTTTCCTAATTTTTGATTCATCATTGGTGATATAACTCTGCTTTTTCTTCGAGGAGGAGCTTGCAACGGCACTCTAAACGACACGAAACAGAGAATTAAAGCTATACGTATCTCTAATTAGAAGCCTAGAAAAAAAAGCCTTCTTTTATTCGCTTCTTTTACCTTTGCAGAGACATAGCACTACCGACGTCGTATCTTGGAATCATTTTCGATTCGAAACTTCACAAAAGTAACGATTGTATTCAATGTTCATCGAACGTATTAATTGTCAGATTAGTGAACGATTAAAACAAAGAGCGTAGTTTATTCGACCTCGCGTGCAAAATGACTGGTAGGAGGAGCGAAGAACAAAGCAAGCACTTGAAAAGCCTCAAAATCTCGAGAGCAAACACTTTGTTAATCTCACCAAGTGCATCGTAAATTACACGAAACAACGATACGCAACACCGTGACACGAAATACGCGGAAATCTGTTGGTGTAAAAGGCTGCTAATGGTCAAATACCGACTGACTGACTGGTGCGATGATTGGGAGAGTCTCGGTCGTACTCGTAGCGCGATAACCCTGAAGCGATATAAAGAAGGTCGAATCCGAAGATGATCCTCGCAACGAGCATACACGATTCTTCAGAAAAACGAGCTCTGATTTCGGTCAGTTTCGCGAAGAATTCGCACGCGAACATCCGCGCTACCGGCGAACATTGTCTTTACATTTTTCTTTTTCACTCTTTCTTGAACTATTTTTTCGGAACCGAAACGCGAGGCACAAGACGCGAGTGAAAGAAATTTCGAGAATCGTTACGATGTCTACGCGTAGATGGAGAGAGAGAGAGAGAGAGAGAGGGATTCTTCCTCGGTTTCAGAACCGAGTGGACTTCCATTGGGCGTTGAACCGCTATTGCTAAACGTCACACTGCTGCTGTCGTCGCTCACCGATCTTGCGAATTTTGAGGCGGTTCCCTGCGAAAGGTGCAACCAGACGTGAGCACTGCGTCAGCGATGGAATCGACGATTCGTTTTACTAACAAGGATACCCACGAAACGCGGACAAAAGAAATGCACGAATACTCATTGTCGCACTGTCTTACCCAGCATGTGACACGAAAAGCGCGAAAGGTGAAATCGCGATGGGTAGCAATGGAAAGTGAGACCTGCTGCTCCGAGTGATATTCGAGAACTACTCTCGCAGAAACGTAGAACGGCGCAGTACGGTGAATGCATAGGTTGACGATTGTAAATATTACGTAATCATCGAGAAATCGTGTTTTTTCACGGACGAATCGTGAATACCTTAGTATTCGTTTAGCTGATCGAAACTGAAGTGAGATTGAAACATCAGAATGTTTAGAATCGTCCGAATTTTAGGATATTCTATTCTTTGAAAAATTTAACGAAATTTTTGCGTATTCAGAGGATAACGATTCTCAGAGCAGCGTTTCCTCACCGTTTGGTAATTTCAAAGATTCGCGATGCGTCGTGTCTAGAAGTAGAAAACGAACCTCTTTTATCACGTCCAGTTTTATATTTCCAACATCAGATAATGCTCTTTCCACGGAATGGACAGAGCTATATTTATGGTCCTTGACATCCTTTTCGTACATAGACAACAACGGTGTTCTTTCCTCTATGTTTCTCACGTAAACAACGAACGCGTGCTACTGCGTATTAAAATCTTATCGAACGTGGCGTTGTTCGATGTCGTAATTAAAATTAACGGGAATGGAATTTACGTGAATGAAAGGTGCGTCTGTGGTGTAATATGCCACGAATGAATTACTCCTCGCCAACGAAAAATAGTTCTCTTTCAAATTCCTTCACGGAGTTCGGTAAACACGTGCCGATAATTGCGACGAGACAACGCAACGTTGCTGTTAAGACCTTTACTGGGCGCAGACTGTCATTGATTATTCACAGTCAGGGATAGACGCGATGTTTGATTCGCGAATGCCAGGGGGAAGGTTTGTTTACGCGAACCTAGCCAAGAGAACAAATATCTTCTGTCGATTCTTTCAACTTACCTTTTGTCCGTCGATTCGCAGATCCTCCATCTCGTCGAGATTACTAGGCATCGAAATGCTCGTCTTACGTATTCGCCTTGTGTGTGGTATCGCAAGTGTTTCTGGGCCTCTCGTCTCCGTATTTCCGTGGTCAGTAATTTCTCGAATTTCTCCAACTTCTGTGGCCTTGGCCGTTTTATCCGCGGTATCTGAAAATCGTGAATTATTCTTTATTCGCAAACTTTACTTGATCATCGTTACTTTCGTTATTTGTACGCTTTATTGGCGCAACGTTATTAATTCTATCGTGCCAGTACCGATATTTTTAACGTTACTTTGTTTTCGATACCTACTATTTTTGAAACGTCAGTAACTATAACCTCGGTGAAGGATGTTAATTGCGAACACGTTTCCCGTTGTTGGATCGTACAAATAGACAACGGACGTGATCGATAAGGAGGACGAAAAATGTGCGACTGCCCTGCAGACGGTGATAAAAAGGTCTTGGAAACGGTGACGCTCTTCAGGAAATGCCCAAAGCCATATCGTCCAGGGAAAGACATAACCGAACCATGGAGCTGCGACACAATTTCGAACAAGGATGCATATAGTCCCGTGGATTCTTCGCAATCGGGCCTTGGATATACCGTTTGCGCCTCACCGAAAGGATCGCAGTCGATCTCGAGCAGCTTTACCAGTTCCTCCAAAGTGGTAATTGTTTCGTAATATTTTGCTCCACCTTCGAATAACTCTGACTTTTCTCGAGTTATATTAATTCTAGTAACGCTTAGTACAAGTTCGTCAGTCCTCGAGAATGCGAGTGTCTCGGAGAAGTCGAAGAAGAAGCTTGGAAGCCACCGATTTTCTCGTTCGAGCCTTGCATCGACGAAGAGGAGGTTGAAGGGATACCGGATGTCGAATGCACGCTGGCGATCATAAAACCGGAAGCAGTAGTTTACAGGAAACAAATCGAGCGACGTATATTCGAGGAGGGTTTCGAGGTTCACCAAACGCGATGGCTGCAGCTCACGCCGGAACAGGTGTCTGAGTTTTACTCGGATAAGTATGGACAGCTGAACTTTGCTCATCTCGTTGCCTACATGGCATCCGGTCCCATAATCGTTCACGTTTTGGCTAAGCGACGTGCAGTTCAAGAGTGGAGATTGCTCATAGGGCCAACGAAAGTAATTTGCGAATGGTATTCGCTATAATTATCGCGAAAACGTATAATTCCCAAATATTTCAGGTCGTGGAAGCTCGTTTATATTATCCCGAAAGTATAAGAGCAAGATACGGTAGAAGAGGCGAGGATTTTAAAAATGCCGTTCATGGAAGTAACACTCGAGAAGAGGCGGAAAAGGAAATTCATTTCTTCTTTCCCGAATGTATGAATTTTACAGTCACGAGATTCAAACGTTTTCCAGGAGGTTGTCGATACCTTTATTTTCGTGTTTCAGCGATAATCGAACCCGTGTTGAAAGATCAAGTAGCAGTGGATTATCTATGGGAAGTACTTAATCCCGTATTGGTGGAAGCTCTGTCTACGGTAAAACGAACAATTTGTAGTCTTTTATTTCATCGAACTTCGATAATCGAGTATGAAAGTAACGGCTTGCGAACATTTTGTTACACAGTGTTGCAAATTAAAGCCTGCAGACCCTATCCTATGGCTTGCCAATTGGTTGATCACGAACAATCCTAATAAACCAAAGTTACCCGAAGATCTCGCCATGATCCACTCATGAATATCAAAATTTATGCTTCTTTGTTTCCTTTCCTGTTCTCTCTCGAGGCTTGTAAATTTTGCGTTACTAATAAAGCAGAAGTTACCTCACCTATTGTGTCTGTTTCCTTTCGAGATTCGTGACGTTGACATGGTATTCTCCTGTTGATTGATCTTTTTTGCGTTCCGTTTAAGATAGGACTGTACCTTAGGAAAGAATTACGCATAATGTTAACGAGTGATAAAGACAGTTACAGCATCGATGATATTTGAACCTTCTGTTTAAATTACAAAGTTAAATACCGGTTGACTCGAAGACGTATAATACGACATACCTCGAAGTTACCAAATTTTGCACGACGTTCACCAGTTGTTCATCTTCGAAAAACCCGTGACCAAGTGTCTCATTTTTCTTAATTAGCATACAATGTTTTTCTTCGATATTTTCGGCAACATCCACTGCAGTGTTCCTATCGTTTCCCACCGAAAGTTTGTCCCTGTCACGAGATGAATCACAGTTCTCGAAGTAACTCACACTCGACAAGTGATTTGCTTTCGACAGGTAGAGATTATTCCTCTTATGGGCACGATTTGTTTCGTCCGACCGTGACCCCCAAGTGGAGCTCCTACATCCAAAAAATGAACCCGTAATTGGTTTCCCTTAAACCGACATCTTTCATTCGAGATTCTTTTTGCCTTTTATCTTAGAAATCGAACAACGTGAGCGAAATCGAGATTACGTTCTACCTAGGACGTTCTTCATTCACGAAACGCACTCTTGCAACTGTCCCACCAGTGTGCTCGTGATCGAAATCATCGCACGTGATTTCCGGCGTCGTGCCGATTAATCCATTGTCGTCTGGAATTTTCTGATCGTTCCGTAGGCCACCGTTCCTTCGTGTCGTCGTCCCACCGTTCTGCACCTTTTTCCTCGCTGATTTTTGCGGCGGTTCCGGCGAACAGTATTTTTCTCCACTCGATGACCTATAAATAATTAACAAGCGGTAGAGCACGTTTGCAAAATTCAGCGACACGTATATTTAAAACTCTCGTGCTTCCATCCACGGTTGTATAATTCATTGCGTACAATCACATCTAAATTATACCAAGTGTCTCTCACAGTTCTTGCTATTATACCCTGTCGAGATTGCAAATTTAACGGTGAATGGCCGTAACAAATTAAAAGTATGTTTCAACGAAGAGAGCTTAAAAATGAAGAAGCACTCGCGGATCCCTGGCGTTTAGTAGAGATAATGTTTTTACCTGTTGGAAGAGTGCCAAGGATCCACCCAGGTGGGTTCGACGGAGCTCGTTTCTAAAGCCCCACTAGCAGGAAGACGTTCCAGCACGTTGCTGTAGACTGGCTTGTACCAAGGCGACGGGATTCTGACTATTTTACCCGAAGACAAAGATTCCTGTAGCGTATTTCCGTTCTGTTGCGGGAATAAGATCGACAAGGAAACGCCTCGTCGTTCTGCCAAGCCGACTGGATCGACACTGGCTACTCTGACGTCCCAGGGATCGACGATGGAGAGCAATACTTTCTGCGCAAAGAGAATAAGGATGGAGAGAGTATGGTAGAGGAAAGAGGGGCAATCAGAAGAGTACCGTCGCCGGAGATGGCTAGTTAAAGTTGATTAAAGTTATGCGTGGTACCGTCAGTTGGACCAAAGCGAAACGAGAGGGATCATCTTGAGCCGCGTCCATCGTGGCAAAGAATCTATCACGCTCGAGGAAGAAAAGAGTAATTTTAAGGTTTATAAGGTGTTGCTCGAAGCAGTGGAGAACTACGAATGAACGGGTTTTGCTTGAAAGCAATTCCAGCTGTGAAAGGTGACAAATTCTGATCCGAATTCGAGGAACTTGGAACTCGGAAAGATCGTCCCCCGCGGACATAATCGTACATCTCGAACAAGCTCGTTAAAGAGGCATCGGATTATAGTATTTACACTCGATTAATCATTGAAAGTAGCATCGGGTTGACAGTTTGACGCGTCCATGCTGTTCGAATTACATAATGAAAATTGATAATGTCTTATATGTCACGAGTGCTATCTCGTTTTCTATTTTAAGAGCACGAATCAAATTTCAGATCGTCGCCTGATTTTCTGCGTTAATTTCAGCCTCTGGAAGATAAAATCGCTCGGTCTCTTTAAAAGCGCATAAAGGCCACGCAAAGGTCTCGTAATGCGAAACAAACACGGAGGAAACTTAAATTCCAATTCGATGCTATGTTTGGCAGAAGCAAATATTAGACAATTAAGTGGTCCAACAATACAGGGATTTGCGTGTTGCATTTATTCGCTACATCACAAATATATTTGCAAACTGTACACCCAGTAGAATAGTCGGTATTATCAAGGGGGCCATATCTTGTTTACGCTCGGTAGAGCAACGAACAGAGTTTTAAACAAACGAGACAATAAAGCGATTAAAAGAAGCATGCAAAGGCTACATGGTTTAAATCGGTCGCGATTAACGAACAAATTATATTTTCCTAGATGTTCCTTTCCTGCCATTCGTTATCGATACAATGGGTCGTATTGAAAAACGTAAGTATTAAAAACGATGTTATTTTAAACTGTATTCAACGAAATATCATTAACGTTCAACGCGTGACTCTGTAGATTACCTATGACCCACGCTGCATAGCAACCTCCCTCCGTATTCTACGAAAACACTTGCCGCGCTGTGTACACGTAATTGACCGTTAATTGCAGCATTCGATGTTTGCCGTTTTGCGAAATGAATAGTTTTCAGACGAACGAACAGAATCATCGTGACAAAAGCGTGAAAAGTTTGCGTGGAGGAGCAGCAACGTTCCAAACGACATGCCAGTCGCGAGACCGCCATTGTTTCTCGTTGAACTGGCATTCAGATGCCGGGGATTTTGTGTTTTCAATGAAACGGAACAAGGAGGAAAATTAACAACGATGATCTCATTCGCATGGTCGATTCGTTTGCACGAGGAGATGCGAGTTTTCCGTGAAATTAGGTTAATAGCCGTAGAAACAGTAAGATGACTTTCGACCTCGAACGAAAGAACGAGTTGTAACTCGATGCAACGTTCGCGCCAGCTTTCAATTTTTCCTCGCCTCGATATATTTCGAGTCGGATTACGAATACCTTTGCTGCATTTCCGTGATCACTCTGCCGCAAAGTTGATTATAATTTACATAATATGTCAACATTTCTCGTGCGCGTACTTTACTCCGTATTTAGTTCGATACGTAACCTCTAACGTGCTGACATCCTGTCGAAAACAAATTTCTCAAACTCTGCGCAGAAGTGGCAGCGTACTCACCGAGTCTCATTCAGTTATGTAACTCCGTTATGCAAGTGGCGATTTTAAAGAAAGAGAAGCTTTGTCGAATCTGTCATCGATGAATATCACTGTCATTGGAGAATAGATGGTTCGATTGGTATGATCTGTAATCTGTATCTTGATAATTATTGAATATTAGATAAACAATTCGGATGCCTCGATGTGCAAAACACGAGGGAACTAAAGTTAGCACGAAGGTGTAACGAAAAGGCAAACAGTAGTCGGTAGATCCATAAATCAGACTGACGATTAAGGACAAATTCGCCAGCGGAAGTATCGGTTTATAAAATAAAAGATTTATATTCTCATTGTCTTTCGAATTCTTTTCTCGATTGTTCCTTGAATAGCTTTCACGGTATTTTCATTTTCACGCGGTTCGGTGCACTTTTTGATTCTAGGAATAGGGGATAAGTGGGAAAGCTAGATAAGTAGTTTGACGTCAGAAGGACCGTCTTCTAACGCAATGAATTCGTGGGAAAGTTCCCCGAATAAGGATCATTTACTATAAATAGCACTTAATTATCATACGTTTCACTTCTCGATGCAAGCTAAAAGTATTCGTTTTTCTCGTTGAAAAAAATATTACTATATATCGATATGGCTGTTCGCGGAAGCTGGCGAATAAAAACGAATGCATAGATCTCTATTGCTTTATATAATTCCTCGGTAGGGAAAATTCTTGTTCTCAAATATATCGACGGAGTTGAACGCAATTTTAAGATGGTGTAAATCAACGCGTCAATTGTTGAACGGTGTGAAAGTTACGTAACAAAGGTTTGTTCGCGCGAAGAATTTTCACTGATCTCGTACTCTATTCGAGAAATAATTTGCAAACGTTCGAGTGAAAGAAAGAAGCAATTGTAGCCAGCAACGATGAATCGGCTGCAATTTCGATCTGACAAAGTTCTCTGAAGCATACAGCTCTCGTAAAAGAGAACACGTAAATAAATCATTGGAAATGGTTCACGAAAGGGGAAGCATAGAACGAAACTGGAAGAAAATAGAGCGCGACTTTCTCGCGATATTTAACGGGGATCCTTATCGCTTGGAAGGTTCGCCACGGTGCTAGTATAAAATCGATTATAGTAATTATCGTGGATCACGTTGCTCGAACGAGCGGAAAAAGACAAAAGGCGGTTCACTCACCTTTTGGCTATCGGTCCTCTTCCGTTTCCTCTTTAATCTTTCCATTGTTCGGGACCGACCGTTGAAACCGGCTGATCGCACTGACGATTTTCAGACTTTCGTGCAAATTCTAACGCGAATACGGGCTATTAGGTGAGAGAGCCTCCACCTTCGAAGACAGGTGGTTTTAGACTGATCTTCCGTTCCTTATATCGGCAACCACTTAGCGATATCTTCCGAGACCGCGTTCAATGTATCGGTAACGCGTTCGCGTGTGCATACACACTCTCGGATTTGCACGCGTTCACTAATACATAAAAACGGAGACCGCATAGTTGTATATGTACAAGATACGTCCCTCTTTCCGCCCACGGACAACCGATATCGATAAATCCCGTGAGTGACCAAATCGGAGCGCGTGAGTGAGCGTGTTTACGCCGCTCCCGATATTCATCGGATGTTACTAGTACAATTCGCGATCTTTCAGCGAGAACGTTACATTTTCCGCGGGGATCGTTCGCAATGACCGAAACCGTTCGTAGTCGCGAAACGATTTTTCCAATTTCCCATTTTTCGAAGAAGAGAGGCATAGGTAGTACTCGCAGCTTGCCAGAGGAAACTTGTCGAACTCGAGAAAGAAAGGTCGCTGCCTCGACGAACTAGTGTTTCGCTTGTTTATGTATTTGCTAATTAATCGAGCGATTAATAACGTAGAAGATTGGTAATAACTTGGGAAACGATTTTGGTAACGTCGAGCTCGCGAACGTTATCGAGGCACGGTTACGCTTTGAAATGGTAAACCAGCTCGGGAACTCGGAAACGTCATTTGAAAACGAATCTGGGCAACTGTAGCTCGAACATGGTTACAC